AAGGCATTGGGACAGTTGGTTGTTTATTTGGAAAAATTGGAGGTAGCTCCCTACCTTACACTATTCACACATAAAAATTCCAGATGGTTTAGCAATCTACATGTGAAAAATTAAAGTATTAAGGTATTAGAAGAATACATCAGAAAATATGTTTATGATCTCACACAAAGGGAGATCCTCTTCACATAGTCTGAAAAAAAAAAGCCCATAGAGGAAAAGATTTGTAAATTGGCCACATCAAAATTAAAATCCTATAAAAAAGATAAATGAAAAGTGACAGACTGGAAAAAACCAACACACATAACAGCTGAAAGATTAGTGTTTGTCCAGAATATATAACATCTTTTATAAATCAATAAAAAGAGTGACAATCCAATAGGAAAATGGATAAAACCAAATACAGGAAATTTATAGAACAGGTAATACAAGTAAAAAGGTGCTCAATCTCACTATTAATCAAAGAAATAAACATTGATTCAGTACGGTGATTCTGATCTTTGCCCATGAGAATTTTACAAAGTTTGGAGGACCCTTTGGCAATATCTATTAAAAACTTCAAATGCACAAAACCTGTGGCCCACTTCTGAACCTTCACCCTGGAGAACATTTGGTACAAAGAGGAGTCTTGCTGCATTGTTTTTATTAGTGAAAAAAATGAAAGAATGAGACTTCCATCAGCAGAGGAATGGCCGCATAGTGGAGGGATAACTCCATTAAAGCATGCTACGTACCAGTTACAAAGTGAGGCTGGCGTCTACCTTGTACATGGTAGATCTGCAAGATGTATTGTTGGGTGAGAGAAGCACATTGCCAAACTGTGTATAATGGGATATATCGCATTTAGGGAAAAATAAAGGCCGAAGAATGTTTCCCACTGATCCATATACATAAATGAATGTAAAGGAAAAAGTTTGGAAGGACAAACACAGAAATGTCCAGTTTTTATGTCTCAGGAGTGGAGGAAGGGGACTAGAATCAGGGATGGTGAGATACCCCAATCCACAGAGAGCTTTAACCTGACCTGTGATATTTTAATTTTGTTCAAACCAGGTCCAAGGATGACCTGTATAATTCAACAGTAATTTTAAGAACTTGAAAGGTAAAGAGAAAACAGGGCCTTTGGACCGGGTGCAATTGACGTGCCTGAGGAGTCTTTGCCCCTACGACCTGCTCCCCAGCTTCCACAGCCTCTGCTCTCCAACCACACACACGCGTACACAGGAAATCTGGCTGTAATCCTAACTGAATTGTTCCCCAGAGAACGTGAAGAAAGAGCAAGCTGTGTTGCAAGCAGTAGCAGAGAGGGCCCGTTATCCCACAGGCAGTTGGACTCCACCTTAGGGGTAGGGATACTTGCATGTAGGTGGGTGGGGGGACACCCTCAGAGGACTATAGTCCTGAGGGGCAGCAGTTCCAGCAGTGTCCTCCAGAGGCCACCCTAGGGTGGGGAGCTAGGGGGCAACTTATGGGATAAAGCTAGTTCAGAATAGCTCCTCAGGCAGACATTTCTCCTGGTTCCTCTGCGTGTTGGGAAGCCCTTTGAGTTTCCAATACACCTGGGCCAGACAAACAGGACCCAGGTAAGGGATCAACAGAGGTGCGCTGGGCAGCCATGTAGTGATCCAGGTTGGGTCATTCATTGGTTGGAAATGGGCTAAAGCCATAGACAAATGCAGGTCCACAGCGTCAGCCCTGAGCCAAAGGTAGATGGTTTGGAGATTATACATCTTGAGAATTCTCCCGCCTCCATGTGGGGAGAGAGCGAAGGGGATTTTCACATCACTCTTTGAAAAGGCTTTAGTTTTTCAAACATTCATTGCCTCATTGCCTCTTGAGGCTCATGAATCACTAAGAGGCCTCCTGTCCAGCCCTTGACCTCTGGGCTTGGCCAGCCCTTGGCCTCCGCTGCCACCCCAGTGTATCTTCCACTCTGCTGCCCAAGTGAGCTTTCTTAAATAACACTGTCACCACGCACTGCATAGCCTCTATGGCTCTTCGGAGCCTTTAGGACAAGAACTTCTCAGTAGGTCAGAGAGTGCTGGATCCTCTGCCTGCCTCGCCAGCCTCCTCCTGCCACACCCTCACCCACTGGTACAGTGGGCTGCATGAAGCTCACTGTGTCAAGGCCTTTGCTGCGTCATTCTCTGGGACCAGAGAATGTTCTTCCTTTCTGTGTCTACATGGTCAACTTCTAAACATTCTTCAAGATAGTCCCCACCTCCAACTCCTCAAGAAAGCTTTCCTAGGTCCCTCCAGTTGGTCCAAGTGCTGTTCTTTGATGCTTCTAAATAACCCTACACAAAGCTTTTGGGTGCCACCGGCTTGCCTTTCTGCATCTTTCTGTGGCAATCCTTGAGAACAAAGCTTGCTCAGTGGAGTACCCCCCGTGACCAGCTCAATACCTGCCTGGCACGTGCAAGGGCTCGGTGAATGCCTGTTGAATAAGTGCCCGAGGTAAAGGTCAGGAAGAGTGTGTGGAGGCCATTGGGTAAAGAGTGCTCGTGTGGAAGTCGAGAGACCTGACAGCCAGATTATTCTGCACTGCGCCACTCCGCTGCCCTCGGCAAAGTTATTTCTTTTCCTGGTCTCCATCTTTCTCATCTGTGCTAAGAGGGTCTTGTATTAAATGTCTCTTCCCTCTTGAGCCTTTAGGTCCCCTAAAAGAGGGAAAGGACCCTGATTGTCAGAGTTGATGAGGGTGTTGGGAATAGGTGCTCCCATGTGTGGCTAATGGGACTGCCAGGTGCAATCTCCATGAGGCCATTTGGCAATTTTTTTAAAAAGCCGTAAAAATGTGGCTACCCAAATATGTATGTAGCAATTTTATGTCTAGAACTTGTTGCCTTAGAAAATGATTGAAGATGTGACTAAAAATTTTACTCAATGGAGGTTGACCCTAGAACTGCTTATCAGTGGAAATAGGAAAGAACTCAACTATCTATCAAGAGAGAATTACTGAATAAATCATAATATTTCATATACAAATATTATGCAAACATAAAAATGAAGTGAACCTATATATTTTCTTATAAGATCTTTTTTTTTAGATTTTATTTATTTATTTTTAGAGAGGGAAGGGAGGGAGAAAGAGAGAGAGAGAGAGAGAGAAACATCAATGTACGGTTGCTGGGGGTCATGGCCTGCAACCCAGGCATGTACCCTGCCTGGGAATCGAACCTGCGACACTTTGGTTCGCAGCCTGCACTCAATCCACTGCACTACGCCAGCCAGGGCGTGAACCTATATTTTTATTGACATAAAGAGATGTCTAGGCTAAGTTGTTAGGTCCTGAGAGTAGGTTTATAAAACAATGTTTAAAGTATGCTCTTACTACTATTTAAAAATACATATTATATTTACACATAAGATATCAAATTATGAAGTGAGGTTATCAGTGAATGATGGGATTATGGGAACTTACTTTCCTGCTTGTTTCTTATTTATGTGAAAAACAATAACACACTTGGAAAGAAAAAAATTATCCATAACCTCACTTCATTATAAGTAATTTTGATTTATTTTTATTTTTGCTTGTGTTCTATAACTTTTCGTGAATGGGTATATATTACTTATAGGATTTGAAAAATATTTGCAGCATTCTGTAGAACTGTAGACCCTGACTCACAGAGTCGCTTGTCTAAGTTCGTACCTAGTCAGACCCCGGCAGGCCAAGCCCGGGAGGATGGCTGCTCTCTAATGGGCCCCTGGGCTCCGCCTCCCAGTGGGTGACAGGGTCTCTGGGTCCACTGGGGAGGTGTTCTCAGTGTGCTGCTGTCCCTTGTTCCTTGGCCAATAAGATGTGATCTGGACATAGAAGACAGGCGTGAGGGCAGGCCAGTGGCTGGAATAGGAGTCTGGCTAGATCCAACAGGACATGGGAGCGTGGTGGGCATGTGCCCAGCCTGATGAGGTCCCAGGAGGTGGCCAAACACAGCTCTTAGTCATAGGCTACTTTTCCTGCCTGAGAATGGCAGCCCCTCTGCAAGCCTTCTTCAGGAGAGAAACTTCCCCCTTTCTGTGTCAGAATGAGCCCAAAGTTTAACCCTAGTCCTAACTGCGCTGGTCTTGTCCCCGAGAGGCCTTGGGCTGCATCGCCCTACTGACCACTAACCACAGCCAGCCCCGCTGGCTCCTGGTATCTGGGAGCAGGTGGCAGGGTGTTGGAGGCACCCCTACCAAAAGTAGAGAAGAAAAGGGAGGAAGAGAAGGAGAGAGGAAGTTACTTTGGTCCTGAGCCTGGGGTAGCCCCCAGGGTCCTCTTTCCTGTGAAATCCAACGGTCTCCACCCAGATATCCTGTCCCTTTAGCCCTTACCAAGAATGGGGTGCTGCCCACCAGGGATGGCCACAGGGGCTAGGTTACTGTTGGGGTAGGGGCCATCCCCCTGGGCTAATCGGACTATCATCAAGCTAGGGCTCCCCTTTACTTTCCCTCCTCCTCTGGGGTAGGAGAGAGTTTCTCTGTTGGTTCCTGACTTTTGCCCCTTTCAAAGGAATCCTGGATTCTAGGTTTAATCAGAATTTGGGAGAGGGGTTATAGTTGTCTGTACCCTCTGGGGACAGCACTGGACCAGGCGCACAACGGGGAGAGAAACTCTGCGGACAGTACTGGGCTCTCCTTTCCCACCTCCCTCCCTCATATCAGGCACCTCTTTCCAAGTGTCCCAGCCCCATTGGGGGAGGAGAGTTCAGTCTCTAGGGGTGGGCCTCTCTGCCCCACCCCTCCCCCAGCCTGGAGGACATAAAAGCCTAGATTCAGCTGAAGGGTGCTGCCAGCGCTAGGTGAACTTTCGAAGTGAGACCCTGGGGCAGGGGGGTGGGTGACCTAGCAAAGGAGGGGCGCTGCGGACCCCTCCTTCAAGGTGGCCTGGGGTCCGACCACAGGCAGGGCCCATAGAGAAGGGACCAGGGTATGGAAGTACAAGCAAGGGGCCAGGAGGAGAGGAATAGTGGGGCTCCCCTCTCCCAAGTGCACTGTGAGCTTTGGACACTTACTGGTCTTGGGGTCTTATTGCAGGGATGAAGCTGCTCCCAGCCTTGGCAGGGCTCCTGGCCGTTCTGGTCATGCCCGGGCCCTCGGAGGGTGCCGCCCCAGGTAACAGATCAGGGGCAAGGGGAAGGTGGCATGTTGGGTGGTTCTGAGTTTCTGGGATTCCTTCCTCAGTACAGGCCACCCTGGCTCTGGGGTCTCATGGGAAGGGGTGTGCTTTGGGCTCATTCCTGACCTCGTGACCCCTGTTTTGGACAGCTGTCCTGGGGGAGGTGGAAACCTCAGTGATTCTGACCTGCATGGAAGAGGCCAAGCGGCTAGTGGACAAGGCCTACAAGGAGAGACGGGAAAGGTGGGGTGCCAGGCACTGCCCAGCTCTGGGCAAGGTTGCCCAGGCCTTTGGAAAAGGGGCAGGCATGGGGAGTGGGGTGGGGCCCTCTTTCTGTCTGTCAGACTGTGTGTGTGAGAATGCCTTCAAAACCACCACTCCACGGACTTGCTTCTGTCTGGACACCCAGGTCCATACCCTGTTTATAAAGAGAAACCTTCTTCCTGTCCGTGAGTCTGTCTCCATTGGCCCGTGTGTCCCTCTCCTGGGCTGGGGCTCTGTGGAGTGTCTCTGCCTACTTTCTCTGGCCCTCACTCCTCCTTTTCCCAGCAGCATCAGGCAGCGGCTTCGCAGTGGCTCAGCCAGCCCCATGGAGCTCCTGTCTTATTTCAAGCAGCCCGTGGCAGCCACCAGGACAGCTGTGAGGGCTGCGGACTATTTGCACGTGGCCCTAGGCTTGCTGGAGGAGAAGCTGCGGCCGCTGTTGTCAGGGCCCTTCAACGTCACTGGTACTGCTGCCCTTCAATCCCAGCCCCTTCTCTACGAGTGACCCCTCCAAGCTACCCTATCACTTCCCAGGGATCTCCCCAACTCCTTCGAGGGAGTCTCCCAGACTTCTAGTCTCCCCTACATTTCCTCAGGCTGCCCCCCTCACTGAGGCTTCTCAGCCTAGGATAGGAAGTGGGGGACACAGCCCCCACACCTCTGCCCCCCTCCCCTACGGCCCCGCAGACGTGCTGACGCCCGCCCAGCTGAATCTGCTGTCCAAGTCGAGCGGCTGCGCCTACCAGGACGTGGGCGTGAGGTGCCCCGAGAAGGACAAGTACCGCACCATCACCGGGCAGTGCAACAACAGGTGTGTGCCGCGCGCGGGCTCAGGGAGAGCGGCTCAGGGTGGTGTCCGGTCCCAGTTCACCCGCGGCGCCACCTTGAGCGAACACCCTGCCCTCACCCCGCAGACGCAGCCCCACTCTGGGCGCCTCCAACCGCGCCTTTGCGCGCTGGCTGCCGGCTGAGTACGAGGACGGCTTCTCGCTGCCCTACGGCTGGACGCCCGGGGTCAAGCGCGGCGGCTTCCCGGTGCCCCTGGTGAGCGCTGGCTGGAAGGGCGGAAGGGCGGCGAGGCCAGGCCCAGCGGCTCGCAGGCAGCCAGCCCCTAACCCTCTGTGTCCGGCAGGCTCGCGCCGTCTCCAACGCCATCGTGCGCTTCCCTACGGAGCAGCTGACCCGGGACCAACAGCGTTCGCTCATGTTCATGCAGTGGGGCCAGCTGATTGATCACGACCTCGACTTGGCCCCTGATCCGTCCCTCCGGGTCGCCTATGTCAGTGGTGTTAACTGCGAGACAAGCTGCCTGCAGCAGCCACCCTGCTTTCCTCTCAAGGTGCCCACTTCTTGCCGTCCAGCCACTGCCTGCCGGGTGGAGAAACTGGGCATCATTCCTAGAAGTGGCCACCTCCCTCTGTGCCCAGGTTTCCTTCCTTAGCTCCTTAGGAAGGCTGGCCCTGCCCTGCCTCCCCCCACCACCCCTGCCCCCACATCTGCTAACCCTCCTACTGTACCCCAAACCTCTGCATGTGGCACCTGGTGCTCACTCCTCTTTCCTCGGCATAAAGGGGCACCTTCCAGCAGCCCAATTACGCAGAGCCTGGGTTGTGGAGCTGGAGCAGGGCTGGGAGGGGACTGTTGGTGTGAGTGGGGAGAATAGGAGAGAAGGAAGGAGAATCTGAGAGAAAGACAGGCCAGAGTGAGAGGCAGGAGAAGAGAGAGGGGGGCAAACAGGAAAGGGAAAAGAGGAAGAGCCTGCTGAGAGTGTAGAGATCTCTCCTAGAGGCGAGACTGGGAGAGGAGGACAGAGATAGGGTTAGGGGGACGGTCAGAGAACTGGTGGGTTTCTCTGCATGAGCCCCACACTCCCTAGTCCAGCATTCCAGTCCTCACCCCAGAAGCTCAGAGGCACTCTGCACATGGAACCTCAGACAGTGACCCCTTATGGGCCTTGACAGGTCTCCCTGTAGTCTGACGGAGCCAGGGGTCCCGAGGGACCCCTGTTTTGGTGTCTGGGTCTCCTCCTTTGGTCTTGGGCTACAGGTGGCTTCCAAGGTGGGATCAAGGCCTTCAGGAAGGTGGACAGGGAGAGAGTCACTCCTCCTACTGTCCCTGCCTTTTGTGAGCTGGCTCAGTCTCCCTCTCTGCCACAGATCCCGCCCAATGACCCACGCATCAAGAACCAACAGGACTGCATCCCATTCTTCCGCTCCTGCCCTGCCTGCACAGGGAACAACATCACCATCCGCAACCAGATCAACGCCCTCACCTCCTTCTTGGACGCCAGCATGGTGTACGGCAGTGAGGAATTCTTGGCCATGAAGCTGCGCAACACGACCAGCCAGCTGGGGCTGATGGAGGTCAACGACCAACACACTGACAATGGCCGGGCCCTGCTGCCCTTCGACAACCTGCACGACGACCCCTGCCTCCTCACCAACCGCTCCGCACGCATCCCCTGCTTCCTGGCAGGTCAGGCTGAGCAGGGACCTAGGATGGCACAGGGGTGTTCCTTGCTGGAGCCACAGCAGGCCTATTTGTAAGCAGCTTGTGGGTTTGCATTTAGAGAGATTCTGCCCTCACCAGCATCATGATATTAATCCAGTTGCCTTGGTGACAAGTTGGATGGAGCCAGAAAGGAAAAAACAAGAAACAAAAACTCACATCTAAGAACGAGACCCAGGCATGGTTGAGGAGCCTCTGTCCATCCATTTCTCTGTCTCTCTCTTTCCCTCTGGACTCTGGCAGAGAGGAAAGTGGAGGCCCTGAAGGACAGGGAACTAAAGGGACAGAGAGCAATGTGGGGCCCTCACCCTCTTGCACCATATTATTAATTAGGTACCTGCTAGCCACATGTGGCTATTTGCATTTATATTTAAGTTAATATGAATTAATGTACATTAAAAATTCAGTTTCTCCACTGCACTAGCCACATTTCCCATGCTCAGTAGCCTCACAGGCTGTAGAACATTCTCATTGGTTGGACAGTGCTGCTCCAGAATATCACTTCCTGCCCATCTTGACTCCCTGTTAATAAGCAAGAACAGGAGCTGAAATTTAAACAGCTGGCAGCCCTGGGGATACTACTGAGGCAGTGATGGTGCCCATGCCCAGAAATTTTCCAAATTTTTTCATTGGGTCTCTTAATTGTCTTGGACTTTATTGAGTTTTAATATTTTGTTCTTTAATTATAGTTGACATTCAATATTATTTTGTATTAGTTTCAGGTTTACAGCATAGTGGTTAGACAATTGTATAATTTACTCCAATGTTTTTTAATGTAAGGCCAGCAGTTGAGCTCAAGGCCCTTCCCTTTGACCTCCCAACCTCTCCTCCTGGTGGTTTCCAGTGGCTGAGCCTGGGGGAGGAGATTCAAGGTCAGTGCCAGTGTGGACTTCGCTAGGAAGAGCTGAGCTCCTTCAGCCAGTCATGACTGCCCAGGCCTGGATCATCATGACCTCCGGCAGCTAAAGGGATGAAAAAGCTGCTCTCATGGAATTTTCTTCTCACCAGCCTCAAGAGCTGGTGAGGACTAAACCCAGTGTCCTGCTGAAATGGCCTCAAGCCCTTCAGAGAAGGGCTGGGGAGGACTAGAAGGATCAAGGGTCTAACTCAGTTTTGTTGAAGAGTCTCAGGTGTGGACTTTAAACATCCTGTTTTCTCGCCCCCTTCCCTGAGCAAGTTGCACGATTAGCGTGTAGTAAGGGCAGCAACTCTGATCAGGTGGTAGTGATTTTCTAGAGTCCTGTGTTGAGAAGGATTCTCAGGTTGCACCCAATTTTAGCAAGAGAGAGCACCATCATCGCTGGCTGTGTCTGATGTGGGCAGGACGCAGGGAGTGCTAGTAGGCATGTTACTTTTTGGCCTTCCCTGAATCAAGAGAATAAGTCAACCAGGCAGTGTTCATGGCTCTCCTACTGTGTACCGAGCACTGTGTTAAACCCCATGTCTATATGTATGCATTGGATGAGAGAGTCAGACACAAAAAGGCAAAAGACAGCAAGCCTTTTTTTCAGGGAGCTCCCACTTGCATGTACAGGAAGGTGGCAAATCATATGTCAGATATCATGCCTATTGAGTGAACATCTCTGACCAGCAGTGCCCTTAAACCAAGGAAGAAGCTATGATGGTGGCCCAGGGTATCAAGGCAGGGGAGGTGTGATCTGAACATCTTTCAGAAGGATGGGTGGAGAGGTGGGCTGGGTAGGAGGCATTTCAGGGGAGGGCGAGCCAGCGAGGCAAGTCCTTTCTGAGATGGAGGTCTTAAGAGTGATGGTAGCTTTTGCTTCCCGAAGGGGATATGCGCTCCAGTGAGATGCCCGAGCTCACCTCCATGCACACACTCTTTCTGAGGGAGCACAACCGGCTGGCCACAGAGCTCAAGCGCCTGAACCCTCGCTGGAATGGAGAGAGGCTCTACCAGGAAGCCCGGAAGATTGTGGGAGCCATGATCCAGGTAGGCAGTCCTGAGATTCAGTGACGCCGGTGTTCGAGCAGAGTTAGGATCCAAACATGCCTCCACCACCTCTTGGCTGTCTGACAGTGGGCAACTTGATCCTCATGAGCCTCAGTTTCTTCATTGATGATACTGTAAAGATTAAGGACATACAGGAAAGCACCTGACAGTTACTAAATGCCTGACAAGGGTTGCTTGCCTTCCATCCCCTCCCAGGCTTGTTCTCCTTTCTACACTTCTGTCCATTGGGAACGAAATTGGGAGGGTTAAATCGCTGGGTCTAAAGAGCCTGGTGCATATCCCTGACTGGTGTGGCTCAGTTCATTGGGCATCATCCTGCAAAGCAAAAGGTCACCAGTTCTATTCCCAGTTCCTGGTCAGAGAAGATGCTTGGGTTGCCAGTTCAGTCCCGAGTTGGGCACCTAGGATATCCAGCTGATTGGTGTTTCTATCTCACGTCAAGGCTTCTCGCCTTCTCCTTCTCCCTCCCTTCCACTCTGTCTAAAAATAAATAAATCGAATCTTAAAAAAAACAAGTGTCTGGTACATGACAGCTGTTCAATAAATGCCTCTCTTTTCCTTCACCTCATTGTCACCCTTGGCTCCTTACCCCTCACCTGTTCCTTTTGGATCTGTCAAAACTCACCCAATCTCCTTAACCTCATTTATCCCTGAGCATTGTTCCCAATTTTCCCTTCCAACTCTGATGCTCCAGTTCCCCCATCCTCTCCTGAAGACACAGACACAAACACACACTCTCTCTCTCTCTCTCTCTCTCTCTCTCTCTCTCTCTCACACACACACACACACACACAGAGGCAACTTTTTAAAACTCTGGAGGAGAAAGTTGCAGGTGCTGAGGGTGAGTTTTTGAGCTGCACTAAGAAATTAAATGAGATTCATTTAAGCCTCAGAGGAAATTCCAGAGTCCAGAATCTAGACTGCTACTGTTCTATATCCCCTCTTCACTAGGGGAAGTCATCTAGGGTAGCCCTTTTCCTTCTTGCCTCCCCTCTTTCCACAGTCAGAGATTGAACCCTACTGCGAGCCAGGTACTTGCTGGGCACTGAGTAATTCCAAGAGAAATGAGATAGAAGCATTGCCCTCAAGGAGCTTATAAGTTAGTAGGAGAAATGAGACATGGATAACTCAAAATCAAGGGAGCTATCAATGACCAACAAAGACCTTTGTTATTTAATCCTCAAGTGCAGAGGGGAGCATAATTAACCTTAATTTACATTGGAGAAACTGGGGCTCAGAGAGGCTAACAACTGGCCCAAAGTCACATAGCAGGCAAGAACTCTGTTTATGCCCCTCGGTGCCACTCTGTTAGACCTAGATCTAGTGCTGTAGGAGGTGGTTTCCTGGCCATAGATGGATGAGGAGGATCCCTCAGGCCAGGAGGAGGTGAAGACTCTGAAGGGATGGATGAGGAGAGAGGCCAGTCTGAGTGACTTTTTCTTTAGATCATCACTTACCGGGACTATCTGCCCCTGGTGCTGGGGCCAGAAGCCATGAAGAAGTACCTGCCCAAGTATCGCTCCTACAATGACTCTGTGGACCCTCGTATTGCCAACGTCTTCACCAACGCCTTCCGCTATGGCCACACCCTCATCCAACCCTTCATGTTCCGCCTGGATAATCGGTACAGGCCCATGGGGCCCAACCCCCGTGTTCCACTCAGCCAGGTCTTTTTTGCCTCGTGGAGGGTCGTGCTGGAAGGTGAGTGGGACCTAGGCCAGGAGAGAGTGGGCAGGCAGCTGAGCGTGGGGTAGGGGTGGGCTTGGCCACAGGGAACAAGAGCAGAATCAATCCTCTTTCCTTCCATTTTGGGGGATCTGACCTGACTTGCCAGCCTCAGTTCACTTGACTCTGCTTCTACATCTAACAATAAAGAATGGGCGGAGAGCACTCATAGGGAGCTGGCTCCTCCCTGTGTGTTGTGACTCTCAGTGACCCAGGAGGCCAGAGGTTGTAGGGAACACCCCAACCTTGCACATCTGGACAGCATAATCCCCTGAGACCTTGATGCCCAGTAAGGACCTTCCCTCTGGGGCCCCCTTGGCACCAGGATCTGCATATGCCCAACCCACTTCTGCAACCCACCCGACCCTACCTTGGACTTATGCCTGACTCCTGTCTGAGCTTTGAGAGTGAGCAGGACCCTCTCCCCAGCCTTGCTCCTCTTGCCCCCAGGTGGCATTGACCCCATCCTCCGGGGCCTCATGGCCACTCCTGCCAAGCTGAATCGCCAGAACCAAATTGTGGTGGATGAGATCCGGGAGCGGTTGTTTGTTCAGATCATGAGGATTGGGCTGGACCTGCCCGCTCTAAACATGCAGCGCAGCCGGGACCATGGTCTCCCAGGTGAGAGACTGCAGGATTCCCTCCCCTATCCTCTCTCCAGTGTGCCCAGCTGCCCAGGAGTTCCCCCAGGCCCAGCATCTTGCTCTTAGGAATCAGTCCGAGGTCAGGCACCTACCTCTCCCTGGGCTTGCCTGGTCCATTTTCAGCAACTCCTGTCCTCCTCTGCATTGCTGTACCCCTTAAACATGGAGTGTCATAATAATAACATCAAGCCCCCTAATCCCCATAGACTGAAAAGAGTTTCCATCATCCTTTTGTTTTGCTTCATTTTACATGAACTCTGAGGGGAAGAGAGCATTATCACTTGCATTTTACTGATGATAAGCAGAGGATTGCTTGCTTAGATTCTTCAGCCAAGTCAGTGACAGAGCAGGAATTAGAACCCAAATCAGCCTAACCTCAAAGCTTGTGCCTGTGTCATGGGTAAGCCAGCATGGCTGAGCCTCCTACACACACTTCACCCCTCACAGGCCTGAGATTTCCAGAGGGGGATGATGAGATGTCATTATTTTTGGACCTGACAGGAGTAATGGCCATTTAGGATGTGCCTGTGGGTGGGAGGGCAAGGGAAAGACAGAGTGGGTCCTGGAACGACCTAGCTGTTCCCTTGGTCTGGGCCAAGGTTGCAGGGCTCCCCAGAGGTTTATAGCCTGGGAGAATCCCTTCTGTGTCCTCCCGCCCTGCCATGACTCTGTATATGACCTTGGTGTATTGGAAGGGGGGTTTTCTAAGATGCACCCACAGCCATCTCTCCTCTTCCCCCATGCAGGGTACAATGCCTGGAGACGCTTCTGTGGGCTGCCGCAGCCCCAAACAGTGGGCGAGCTGGGCACAGTGCTGAAGAACCTGAACCTGGCAAGGAAGCTGATGGGGCAGTATGGCACACCCAACAACATTGATATCTGGATCGGTGGCGTGGCTGAGCCCCTGAATCGCAATGGCCGTGTGGGGCCGCTCCTCGCCTGCCTCATTGGGACCCAGTTCAGGCACCTCCGTGACGGCGATCGGTAAGGAGACAGGTGGAGGGGTCCAGGCACACTGTGTGGCCCTGGGCCTGTTCCAGATGTCTTGGGGCCCCACTTTTTGTGGTGAAATGAAGGGCTAGAAGGAATCTGTGACTTCCCAGTATGTTCCAGGGAGCTTCAAGGTCATCCCTAATGTGCCCTGAGCCTGTTGGGGGTGCAGTGAGGAGGGACCTGGACTCCCGGTTGGGAGGGAGGGAAGACAGTGAAAATGCCCCTCTTTACTTCTCCGTGTATCAGGGTGCAGCCATGGTGCCGTCAGTCACTACTGAACAGGCTCATCCTGGCTTCTCCTGTGTCCTTTCATCATGGTTCTGACAGCTGAATCCCTAGTTCTCACTGAACCTGTGTTGTACTTTTGGGAAGATTAGAAAAGGTGTCCTTTGGGTGGACAAATCAGAAACACCGCCAAGATTCTCTCCACCCCCATGGGTGCAGCTCTGGCTGGGGCACAGGCTTCGTGGATGAGTATAAGCCCAGCCCCCTGTCCAGCATTAGTGATGCCCCAGAGGCTGCTGGGGTGAAGCCATCTGGGTAGCTGGGCTTTACACTGTGTGGTCAGTGAGGCTCCACTTGCTTGAAAACCCTTGGCCGCCTGAGGACCTGGAGCACCCCCGTGCTATGGAGCTATGTCTGCTGTGGCCCTTTTGCATCTAGAAGGTGGCTCAAGCCAGGTGATGCCATCCCAGCCCAGGACAATCACAGCACAGTGTCCGTGGGTGTTCTCGTTCAGGTTTTGGTGGCAGAACAAGGGTGTATTCAGCAAGAAACAGAAGCAGGCTCTGTCCAAGATCTGCTTGCCTCGCATCATCTGCGACAATACAGGCATCACCACCGTGTCCAAGAACAACATCTTCATGTCCAACACATTCCCTCGGGACTTCGTCAACTGCACTAAACTTCCTGCGTTGGACCTGTCTTCCTGGAGAAGCACAGACTAGAGCCTGAGTAAGGGGGTGCTCTTTGAGGTGAAGGCTGGGGACACCTGGGCTGGCCATTGCAGCCACAGATTTCCCTTCCCTAGACAAGCCACCCCTGCTCTGGGTGCCGGCTGAGAAGACGAACAACTACACATTCATTCATATGTGTGCAGACATGCGTAGTGTGTATATATTGCATTATAAGTGTATGTGTTATCTGTGAACATGGGTACTGTGCTGTGTGTTGTGTACGTGTGTGATTTAGTGAGTGTGTGTTTGTTGTTTCAGTGAGTATTACATATATGGGAGGCAGCAGAGTGGATTGGGGATTAGCACAGGCTCAGGAGCAGGACTGCTTGGGTTCAAATCCCTGTCCAGCTTCTTACCAGCTGTGTGACCTTGAGTACGTTCCTCAACCTCACTAAGCCTGATTTTACTTCTTTGCGAATAATAAAACAGTTGGTATTACAGCTGTCATGTCTGCTCACAGGGTTCATTTGCCTCCTTTAGTTCTGTGACTATTGAGCACTTACTAGCTGCCAGGCACTGTGCTAGGCATGGGAAACAGAGTCAGACATCGTTTCTTCCCTCGTGGACCTTACACCTTTACAATGTCCTGGCTAGCGAGGTGAACCAGGAACCCCCTGCAGGAATGGCCATTGGCAGCTGGGCTGTGTGTGGTGGTTGAGTTATGGGCCCAGGTGAGCTGGGCTCAGGCAATCCATGGCTCCCTTTTTTCTTCTTTACTCTGTTCTCTTGCTTATTTGCAGGAGCTGCCTGGCGAGGAACTGGGGCACATTGGCCCTTTTGTATCATTTTTCTGTACCTGACATCCATGATAATAAAGTAGTACTGATGGGGATCATCCCTCTGTCTGTGTTTGCAGTGGGCCTGGTGTCTCAGCCTAAGGCTTGCTCTGGGCTCTGAACATGAACCAGTGTGGCTGGTGCCCCAGGGCCCTGCGTTTTCTGAACTGGGGGCAGGGTGTGTGTGTGAGGATATCCAGGAGTCTTCCTTTGGCTGATCCATAGGTGGGAGGCAGTCAGTTCTTAGACGCCTGGGGACTGGGCCAAACTGAGTAGGCCCTCCTCCTTCCCCTTCCTCTCACAGCACCTGCAGACCAGGAATGGTGGCCACAAAGTCTGTGTGTTCATTCATTGCTCTAGTAAATATTTGCTGCATGCTCACTCTGTATCAGGCTTGTGTCAGGTACTGGGAAATAGAGGGGACAAAACGCTGTCCTGCAACGGGTCAAGAGCAGAGGTGCGGTGGGAAGGGACGTCCGGATCCTGCATCTTTGTAGCCTGGCACAGTGGTTCCCGGGCCCTCCCACAGGGGACTCCTTCTCAGTCGTGGCTTTCTGTGGCCAGAGCTGCAACAAGGGAAGGAGGGTATTCCCCTACTGCCTGGAGTGTGACCCTTTTATCTGAAAGGTGGGTTCCCTCCCCTCCTTCCCACCTTTAGGGAGGGCCACTTGCAGCTGAGAGCTGGAAAGTGTGTAGGGCGCTAGAGCTAATGTACCCATAGGAGCCCCAGGTCACATCAGGACCTCACCAGAGCAGGATAAACACTGCTTATCTTCAGTTCACAGGTGACCAGCAGGGTGCTTAGAGGTGTGAAGGGGCTTATCTGAGGCCTTGAAGAAGTGGGTACCAGAGCCAGGCTGGTAGCTCAGGTCTTCTGGCTCCTGGGCTCTTCCCACAGGATGGTTAAGTACCTCCCACCCTCACCCCCACCCTGCCAGTTGGGGGACCTGGAGGCCCTGGCTGGGCTGACCTTACCCAGAAGGTCATATAAAACACACACACACACACACACACACACACGAATATGTATTGGGTAGCAGCATGAGGAATATTCTAGAAGGGCTCCCTAGAGGCCTGCCAGGCTCTGAGATCTGCTCTAGAAGAAGAGGGCATTTCCCAGAAGGGTGTAAGGAGGGAAGTTGACTCTAGATGTCAGGAAGCCAGGCTTGGGTTTCCTCCCTGTTTGATCCGCTGGCATTCTCCCAAGCCCCCTCGCTTTCCCTTCTATGGCCATTGTTTCTTTTCCTGGAACCCTCTTGCCTCCTTCTTTTCTTGGGGAACTCTTTGAAACCCACTGAACCATGCCCTGCCACCCCGCAGACCGTGCACACATCTTTGTGGTGAGACTGCAAACACCGAGTGTGCAGAGGTTCCAGGGCCTGCCCTCCAGCAGGGAACGGTGTCTTTGCCACATCTTTAGTCAATCATCGGATGTTTATTGAGTGCTTGCTGTGTGCCAGCACCTTGCTGGGTGGTGGCACGGGAGACCCTCGGAAGCAGGTCAAGTCCCTGGTTTAAGGAACTTACAATCTGGCTGAGAAGAAATAAGGAGAAATAAGGATGCAAAGGCCACAGCCTCAGCCAAGACCTGTTCCAGGGAGAGGGCGGGTGACCCCGGGCAAACTAGACTGGAAGGGCATCCCAGCAGGTCTACACCACAGCAGACGTGGACTTCCCCAGGAAGAGGAGATGGGAGCAGTGGATTTCGAGTGGAAGAGATGGAACAGCCAAGGCTCTGGCCTTGGGCTTGTGGGAGGTATGCATCTGGCAAGTGAGCAAGACCTGGTGAGAAAGAAGGGCTGGGACAGGGTGTGGATGACTCAGGGGCTGACCACCGAACTGGCTTGAAATGGCATGGTGAACCAAAGGGAGCTTTCCTGCACGGTGTGGGAGGCCCCTAATTCCCCACTGAGGCCCAGGGGGAGAGGTCCAGCTTCTCAATGGCTGAGCAGTCCACGAAGTCTTGGGGGTAGCTGTTGGTTTTGAATGGGTTCAGGGGGGACCTTGGTGATGTGGGTGTTGTCACAGACAAGGCGTGAGAAGGACATTTTCCGTAGAGAGTCCTGCTGCTTCTCAGTGAAGACCCCAGGGTTCTCCCACCAGAACCTGCAGAAACAGAGGCACAGTGTTGCCATACAGCCCAGCTATTGACCCTTCCCCACCCTGCCAAAGGGCAGGTCATTGGGAACATGCTGAGGTGTGGGTTAGCCCTCACGCAGGAGGTGGGAACCCTACCTCGGGGAAAGGCCTGCCACTCTCCCACGGAGGTTTCACTTGCCTGTCTCCATCTCGAACTTGCTGGAACTGCTTCCCCATGAGGCAGGCCAAGAGAGACCCCACCTGGCCCCTTTCTACCGGCAGCTCAGCGACAGCCCCAATCCAGATGTCAATGTTGCTAGGGCTTCCATAGAGATCCAGGAACTTCTTAGCCAGAATCTTGTTCTTCAGCACAGCGCCCAGCTCCGCCAGGGTCTGGGGCTGTGAGAGGTTGCAGAAGCCTCTCCAGGAGTTATACCCTAGGACACAGAGACTGAAGTTGTCTCATCCTGGGGACCACTTGCTAAGCCCCCGCCCCCTTGGAGACATACCCACTCCTGCCCCATGGCCCCAGAAGGTCTGGAGTCATAGGAGTCACAGCTTCTGGGACAGGGTTCCATTGTTTTCTACCTGTGGTGCTTCAGCCTGGGGAGGGCCAGCAGGTGATGTGGGCCCTGGCCCCAGTATAAGCAAATATGCAAACCGAAGAACAGAGAAGTTAAGTAAGTTGCCTAAGGTCACATAACTAGATGGCACAGGTGGAATTTGAACCCAGGGAGATTGGCTCTTACTCAAAACGTTAAATCGCCTTTCTTGGGTACAAAAATATGGCCCCAATAGTCATTGGTTTCCCTCTATTCTCCTTTTTGTAATTTTTCTGGGCTTTCAAACTGGTTTTTCAAGTCAGTTGGTGATATCTTTTTCACTTGGGAAGCTCCAAGATGGTACCAAGATATGTTCTCTTGCCTCTGCATTAGAGAGAATGGAAGACTCCATTTTGCAAATGAGCAAAATGAGTTTTTAAAACTGGGGCACCTGCCTTGTGTTTTGGAATTGATCAGATCCTCAGGATCATAGAAGAGAGTGATCTTCTCAGAAATAGCTAAAAGTGCCCCAGGTCAGGCGAGACCCAGGCCCACTCACCAGGCATCCCGTGGTCCCGGCAGCGCTGTATGTTAATGGCAGCCAGGTCAAAGCCGTGGATCGTCTGAGTGGGCTGGAAAAGCTTGTTGCGCAGCTCTCCTGTCATCATTTTGTTCTGCTTCATCAACTTGGAGTTATTGACTAGCAGGCCCCGCACCAGAGGGTCAGTTCCACCTGCAAGGCAGACCATCCTGGGAATAAGAGGAGAGCTGGAACATCTTGCACTGCTGATTCCTTCCTCCACCAGACATTATCTCTCAAGTGCGAGTAGGAGCAGCTGAACATCTCAGGCTAAAAGTGGGGAGAGAAGAGCACAGTGCAGCCTGCAGGGTGTTCTGGGGGAGGGGGCAGTGCATACTGCCCACTTTGGGGGTGGAAGGAAGGGCCATTTCCAGCAAGCTATGGAAGGGCTATAGAATGGAAGGGCACTTAAAGTGCTTCCCAGATAAGTCAAAGGAGTTCACCAGCACCACTCCCCCATTATATGAAATGTTAGGGACTTGTCTAAGAAATACAAGATCAAAACTCTGAACAGTAAAATGACAACAAACTCACAGCTATCAATAATTGAACCTAAAAACAAAAACAAAAACTAAGCAAACAACTAGCGCAGGAACAGAATCACAGAAATGGAGATCCCATGGAGGGTTATCAGTGCAATGGGGAGGGAGAGAATGAGGGGAAATGGCACGGGGAATAAGAAGCATAATAGGCAGGTCCAAAATAGACAGGGGCAGATTAAGAATAGTATAGGAAATGGAGAAGCCAAAGACCTTATATGTACAGCCCATGGACACAAACTAAGGTGAAGGAAATGCAGGAGGAGGGTGGGGGGTGCAGGGCAAAGGGGGAGAAAGGGGAGAAAAAAATGGGGACAACTGTAATAGCACAATCAATACAACATACTTTAAAAAAAAGAAAGGGCCATTCATGAGATAGTGGCATGAAGACAAACTGCAGGACTTTTTCTGAGCTTTAGTTCAGAGATGGCCCCTTCCCCCTCCACAGGTTCCATTAAGGAACATTGCAGTATAGGAGGTGGTAGCAGAAATCTATAGAAAATGGGCCTGACTTGTCAGGCCTCAGTTAAGGCCAGTTTCAGCACAACCCAACAGAAAGAGGGTAAAGGGAAGCCGGGTCCAGCCTTTAGTAACTAATGGAGGTGGAAAGTCCCAGAGAGGAGTGAAGAAGAGCAAGTTATTTACCAAACCCATGAGTTTTTTTTCTACAGAGGTCAGAGAAGCCAGACGCAGGAAAAGGAGGTAGGAGAAACCTGGTATCTTAGAGGCTAGATGAGGAAAGAATAATAACTAGTATTTATTGACCACTCCCTGTGCGTCAGGAACTATTGCAGATTGCTCTACCCATATATTTCAAGTTTTTTGTATATTCTGGTGAGACAGGCACTGTTATTGTCCACATTTTACAACTGAGGAAACTGAGGCCCAGTGAGGAGAATTGCCTTGCCCCAGGTCACAGAGAAAGTGCCTGGAGCCTGACTTCCAAGCCAGGTTTCCCTAAGAGCAGGCTGCAGAGTGAGGCAGCCAGGTGGCAGCGCTTCCCTGAATGGACTTACCATCTTTGACTATCCCTCCAGGTGTTGAAGAAGAGGGTGTGCAGGGGGAGGTCCGGTTCTGGACCCCATGGCTGATAGTTCTCATCCAGGCGAGACACAGTGGCGGGGACCTCCAAGTGGCCAAAGCGGAAGGCAAAGGTGAAGACATTGGAAATTCGGGGATCCACAGAGTTGTTGTAGCCTTGGTATGGAGGGATCCACTTCTGCATCTCCACACCTAGCACAATGGGTAGGTAGTCCCTAAAGGTGATAATCTGGAACGAGAAACAAGTCATGAGGAAAGGGTGTGAGAAGACCCAAACCTCTGCAGAATGAGGTTGGAGAGGCACTGCAGCCAAGAGGGAGGAGCAGTGAAAAATCAAGGAGGGCAAATGGATAGCACATGTGTCCGATTGCCTTTCCCTTGACCTGGCAGACATTACTAATTGATCATGACATTATTTCTGCTGATCTCTCACGATTTGTCTCAACACAGGCTCTACTAAGCAGTCACTTCAATTTGGCACTTGAGATGTACTCTCTGTCATCTTTGCTCTAAGTTTATGACCTTGAAGCTAAAGGGACAGTCCTTGTGTGTCACTTCAACATAGCCATGTTGGGTTTTTAAACTTTTGCCACAGGCCAGGGCAAGAGGAATGAAGAACCATAGTAATGATTCACAGGGTAACCAAGGGAGGTTCATTCAGTCTCCAGTTCTGAAGGAAGTGCTGCACTTTGGAGAGGTCAGTTTCTGCTTTGGTTTTACTGAAAACAATGAACTAAGATAAATTAAGAAAATTTTTGAAAAAAATAATAAATCATGCCACCATGTAGCACAATAATTATATTAATTGTTATTTTTCATTTAAAAAATATATTTTATTGATTATGCTATTACAGTTGTCCCAATTTTTCCCCTTTACCTCCCTCCACCCAGTACTTCCATTCCCTCCAGTAATCCCCCTTAGTTCATGTCTATGGGTCATGCATATAAGTTCTTTTATTTCTCCATTTCCTATACTATTCTTAACATTCCCCTGTTGGTTTTGTACCTACCAATTTATGCTTCTTAAACCCTGCACTTTTCCCCCTACTCTCTCCCTTCCCCCTCTCAGCCCATAACCTTCCAAGTGATCTCCATATCTATGATTCTGTTCCTATTCTGGTTGTTTGCTTAGGTTGTTTTTTCAGACTCAGTTGTTGATCGTTGTGAATTTGTTGCCATTTTAATGTTCATAGTTTTAATATTCTTTTTCTTAAATAAGTTCCTTTAACATTTCATATAATAATGGCTTGGTGATGATGAACTCCTCTAGCTTAACCATGCCTGAGAAGCACTTTATCTGCCCTCCTATTCTAAATGAGAGCTTTGCTGGATAGAGTAATCTAGGCTGTAGGTCCTCCCTTTCATCACTTTGAATACTTCTTGCCAGTTCCTTCTTGCCTTCAAAGTTTCTTTTGAGAAATCAGCTGACAGTCTTATGGGAACTCCTTTGTAGGTAACTCTCTGCTTTTCTCTTGCTGCTTGTAAGATTCTCTGTTTACCTGTAACCTTTGCATTTTAATTATGATGTGTCTTGGTGTGTTCCTGTTTGGGCCCCACTTATTTGGGACTCTGTGGTTCCTGGACTTGTATATCTATTTCCTTCATCAAATTAGGGAAGTCTTCTTTCATTTATTTTTTCAAATAAGTTTTCAATTTCCTGCTCTTTCTCTTCTCCTTCTGGCATCCTTATGATTTGGATGTTGGTATGTTTAGAGATGTCTAGAGGCTTCTTAGTCTATCTTTGTTTTTGCTTTTATTTTTTAATTCTTTTTTCTTCTTGCTGTTCTGGTTGAATGCTTTATTTCTTCCTTATGTTCCAAACCATTGATTTGATTGTTGTCTTCATCCCCTCCATTGCTGGCTCCTATAGATATTTTTTTATTTCACTTAATGTAAATTTCACTTCTGCCTGGGTCTTTTTTATTTTGTTGCCATACTCAATGAACATCCTGATCACCAGTGTTTTGAACTCTGCATTTGATAAGCTGGTTATCTCCATTTTGTTTAATTGTTTTTCTGGAGTTTTATTCTGTTCTTTCATTTATACCCTATTTCTTTGTCTCCTCAATTTGGCAGCCTCCCTGTGTTTGTTTCTGTGTATTAGGTAGAGCTGCTTTGAGTCCTTGTCTTAGTAGTGTGTCCTATTGTAGAAGAGCAGACCTGTAAATTGTGTGGGGCCAAGACTTAGGTGATCACCATGGCATGGCAACCTGCTCCACTGCTTTGTGGCTCTGTGTGGGGAGAGGGTTGGGAGAGTGACAATTCCACTGCCTGGCTTCCGGAGGTTTGCCTGGAAGGAAGCTGTTTCCTGGTACTCGCCCTTTTCCAGTCACTTCACTCACTCCTTATATGTCCTTGCTCCTTCCAGCTGTTGCCCTGGTGCTGAATCCCAGAGGGGGTGGGCCTGCATAAGTCCTAAGTCCATGTGGGTCCTGTAAGAGGAGTGTCCTCAGAATCTGGCAGTTTCTTTCACTGCCCCAACCCCCACTGGTTTTTATAGCCAGAAGTTATAGGAATTTGTCTTCGTGGTGCTGCAGCCCTGGGCTGCTGGATGGTTTGTCTTGGGGTGGGCATCCCTTGCTCCCAAGGCATCCCTTCCAATTTTTATCCACCACATGTGAATATGGGACTTCTGGTTCCACTGCCTCTTCATGCCACTCTATGGCCACATGCCTCTCTATGCCTCTCTACCTCTCTCTGCATCTCTGCCCCTCCTACCCATCTGAGTGAATGTGGCTTCTTTAAACCCATGGTTGTTGGCTTTCCATACACCTTGATTTTCTGATGGTTCTGGGGAATATTTGTGTTGTAGTTTAGTTGTAATTTCTTTTTATAGTTGTGGGAGGAGACAAAGTGTGTTTACTTATGCCTCCATCTTGACTGGATGGCTATTCTTCTAATATTTGTCTATATAATACACATTTTACATAGTTGTAATCTGAAAGAATACAAACTTTTACATTCTGCTTTTTCACTTAACATATGTCACATTTCTACTTAGCTCACAATCATATAATTAAATGTGTATAATATTCTATGGTACTCACAGGCCCTTCTCCTACTCTTTTACTCTTGTGTTGCTTCTAATTTGTTTAGCAGCACAGACTATGTGGGGTGTCATTTTTGGTACAGGCGATCTGCTCTTTGGGCTATGGGAAGGAGCAGGAGACAGAACCCTGCCTTTGGCCACAGTGGACTTGATCCACATAATGGCACTTGATCTGAAGGGACAGGTAGGGTCACATAGGTTTTCATATTCTACCATGTGCAGAAAATCAGAGAAAGCTCATGTGCAGAGAGAGAGTGGAGAACAAAGAAGAAGTGAAGAGAGGAGCAGAGAGAAGGGAGGGACAGAGTGAGACTAACTGCTATAATTCCAGATGGTTTCCCATCTCTGCCTCTAACCCTTGTTGAGACCCAACTACCCTCCCTATCCTGGGGTTCCAGAAGAAACCTTTGTCAGCTCCCAGTTGACATGTGTATGGTGTTGAACCAATCCTGAGCATCTGGACTAGCCTGAGTGGGTTTCTTTTTCTTGTAGTCCCAAAAGCCTTGTTGTGGATTGAATTGAGTCCCCCTCAAATTCACATGTTGAAGCTCTAACCCCTAATGTGTTGGGAGATTAGGCCTGTAAGGAGGTAATGAAGGTTAAATGAGGTCATAAGGGTAGAGTCCTGACACAATAGAACTGGTGTCCTTATAAGAAGGGGGAGAGAGCCCTGGCTGCTGTAGCTCAGTGGGCTGAGCACAGGCTGTGAACCAAAGGGTCACTAGTTTGATTGCCAGTCAGGGTACATGCCTGGATTATAGGGTAGGTCCGTAGTGAGGACCACATGAGAGGCAACCACACCTTGATGTTTCTCTCACTCTCTTTTTCCCTCCCTTCCCTTCTTCCTACAAAGAAATAAAATCTTTTTTAAAAAGAAGAAGAAGAAGGGGGAGAGACACAGGGGAAAGGCCATGGGAGGTCACAGAGGGAAGGTGGCCACCTTGCAGACCAAGGAAAGAGGCCTCAGGAGAAACCAAACCAGCTAACACCTTGATTTTCTAGCCTCCAGACTGTAAAAAAATAAATTTCTGTTGTGTAAGGTATCCGGTCTGTGAGATTTTATTATGGTAGCCTGAGTTAGCTAATACCAGCCTTAACTTAACTAATCTCTAGGTAGACATTTTAAAATTTCTTTGGATGTTTTCTATCAATATCTCCAGCAGGAAGAATTCTGGGCTCCAAATTCTTTTAAAATAAATATTGAATTCTGGAGATTTTGAGAAGTAAGTGGAAATATGCATAAATCTCTTTGATAGTTAAAAAATAAGTGCATAGAGCATCTGGTTCCAGAAGTAGATGGTATAGATTCATTTTTCCTTCATCTTCCCTGCTAAATATAACTAAACTCCCTGGAAATTGTTCAACAGACAACAGTAAAAAGACTTTGAAATCTGGAAAGGGGGTGGACTGGCTGAGGACCCCAGGACGTGGGCAATGACAACATGGAAAGTCCTTACATACCCCAGACTAGGTATAGGATAGGATGGCAACCTGGAACTTCTAAAAGGAATAGATAAAAGGAAGCCCCCAGAATGACTTCTTTAAAAGACTTGGACAAGGGAAGTTGAGCAGAGAACTAGTAGACCGAGCCCAAACCTGCTTCACAAGCCAAGCCCTTAGCCATCCCAGGCCTTCATCCTCAACCCAGGCTGGCGAATGCTCTGATCTGCCTACAGTGGTGGCAGCAGTGAAACCCTGTGTTTCTCTGTTCTTCACTCAGTGGCATAAGGAGACACAGGAGTGGTGGCTTCTGCTCCCCTAGAAGGTTGCTCAGCAGCAGAAGGCAGCCAGGAAAGTATCAGTGTCAGCAGGGATTGACTGGGAACCCCAGAAGTCCCAGTCAGTAATGACTCATGAACCCCAGAAGAATAAAGCAGACCAGAACAGCATTGCAGGGACTCAGGAACTAAACTATCATTAGAACTAATGCCTACAAAAATATGTCAGAACCTAGAGGCTAAACCTAAACGGTAACTGCGTGCTTAAATAACACACTTAAATAGGTTCAAGAGTCTGCTAACATAACAACTAAATGTCTGTGATACAACTGAAAAATCACTCATAAGACCAAGCAAAATGAAAGCCAAAATTTGAATGAGAAAAGACAACAGTGACTTCATTCTGCTGCTGGAATTATCTGTTAAAGATTTTAAAGCAGCTGTCTGAAAAATGCTTCAGTGATCAATCATAAGTTGTCCTGAAACAAAGAAAAAACAGAACATCTCAACAAAGGAGTAGAACTATAAAAACAAACTGAAATTGTGGAACTCAAAATTAAATGAAATAAAATATGTGTTAAACAGACCAGTAACAGGGTGGAGATGACAGGATGGAACTGAAGGCGGATCAATAGAATTTAGTCAATCTGAAACCAGAGAGAAAGGAGACTGCACAGGGCCACATAAATGTGTCCAAGTAATTTTGACAAAGGAACAAAAGCACTTTGAGAGAGGAAAGATAGCCTTTTCAATAAGTGGTGTTGAAGCAATTAGACATCCATAGGCCAAAACAATGAACCTTGGCCTGAACCTCACACTTTATACAAAAATTAATTGTAAGTGTCATGCACTTAAATCTAAAACATAAAACAATAAAACGTTTAAACAGACAAGCAAACAAAAAATGGGAGAAAAATCTTGGGGACCTGTGAGCAGGGAAAGAGTTCTGAAACTTGACGCCAAGGGCACCATTCATGAAAGGAAAAAAATGATAAATTTGACCTCATTGAAATGAAAAAGTCTTGCTCTGCAAAAGACCCTGGAAGAGAATGAGAAGACAAAACTACGGCCTGGGAGGAAATATGTAAAGCCCCATACCTGACAAAGGACTTGTATCTAGAATAGATAAAGAGCTCTCAAAACTCAAGATTAAAAGACAAACAATCCAATCTGAAAATGAGCTGAATATATGAACAGGTATTTTATTGAAGAAGATACACTGAGGGCAAATAAGCACATGAAAAGATGTTCAATGTGATTAGCCATTAGAGAAATGCAAAGTTAAGCCACAATGAGATGTCACTATACACCTGTCAGAAAGGGTAAACATTGTGACAACACCAAATACGGAGCAGAGTGCCGAGAGACGGAACCATCCATACATTGTTGGTAGGGATATGAAGTGGTACAACCCTAGAAAATAGTTTGGCAGGTTTTTAAAATATACTTTGTTTATTATGCTATTCCAGTTATCCCATCTCCCCCTCTTCACTTCCCTCCACCCTGCAAACCCTCTCCCACCCACATTCCCCCCCTTTAGTTCATGTCCATGTGTCATAAGTTCTTTAGCTTCTACATTTCCCATACTATTCTTGCCCTCCCTCTGTCTATTTTCTACCTACCATCTATGCTACTTATCCTCTGTACCTTTTCCCCATTCTCCTCCCACTCCCGTTGCTAACCCTCCATGTGATCTCCATTTCTGTGGTTCTTTTCCTGTTCTAGTTGATTGCTTAGTTTGTTTTTTGTTTTTTTTTAGGTGTGGTTGTTAAGAATTGTGAGTTTGTTGTCATTTTATTATACATGTTTTTTATCTTCTTTTTCTTTGATAAGTTCCTTTAACTTTTCATAAAATAAGGGCTTGGTAGTGATGAACTCCTTTAACTTGACCTTACCTGAAGAGCACCTTATCTGCCCTTCCATTCTAAATGAAAGCTTTCCTGGATAGAGCAGTCTTGGATGTAGGTCCTTGCCTTCCATGACTTGGAATACTTCTTTCCAGCAACTTCTTGCCTGCAAGGTCTCTTTTGAGAAATCAGCTGACAGTCTGATGGGAACTCCTTTGTCAGTGACTGTCTCCTTATCTCTTGCTGCTTCTAGGACTCTCTCCTTCATTTTTACCTTGGCTAATGTAATTATGTTGTGCCTTGGTGTGTTCCTCCTTGGGCCCAACTTCTTTGGGACTCTCTGGGCTTCCTGGACTTCCTGGAAGTCTATTTCCTTTGCCAGATTGAGGAAGCTCTCCTTTATTATTTGTTCAAATAACTTTTCCACTTGTTGCTCTTTCTCTTCTCCTCCTGGTACCCCTATGATTCGGATGTTGAAACGTTTAAAGATGTCCTGGAGGTTCCTAAGCCTCTCCTCATTTTTTTTTTGAAGTCTTATTTCTCCATTCTTTCCTGTTTGGTTGTTTCTTTCTTCCTTCTGGTCCACTCTATTGATTTGAGTCCCAGTCTCCTTCCCATCACTATTGGTTCCCTATGCACTTTCCTTCATTTCACTTATTGTAGCCTTCATTTTCTCATCTAATTTGCCACCAAATTCAACCAATTGTGTGAGCATCCTGATCACCAGTGTTTTGAACTGTGTATCTGATAGGATGGCTATCTCTTAGTCGCTCAGTTGTATTTGCTCTGGAGCTTTGATCTGTTGTTCAGTTTGAGCCATTTTTTCTTTTGTCTTGTCGTGCCTGTTATGTATGAGGGGCAGAGCCTTAGGTGTTCACCAGGGCGGGGCAACCCACTTCACTGGGTTTTGGCAATCTATGTGCAGGAAGAGTCCAAGAGGGAACAATGGTGCTTGCTCTGCTCTCTGTTGGATATCAGTCCCTTCCATCACTTCCCCCTAAGCAAACTGGGCCTTTCTGGTCCCTGATTCCCATGTGGGTGGGCTTGTGTATGTTCTAGGACCCTGTGAGTCTCCCCAGTGAGCTCTCCTGTGAGGATGGGAGTCTCTCCCATCACCTGAACCCCCACAGGCATCCCCAATTGGTGCCTTTAGGCATTATTTCCCAGCACTGGGACCCTGGGTTGCTCGGTCTGTCTTGCTTCACATTTTCTCCTGGTTTATCTGTGTGTGAACGTGGGACCGCCTGGTCAGCCATCTGCCTTGCATACCGTGCCTTGCTTCACAATTGCTGCCTTGCTGGGTCTGCCCGTTGCCACTCCACACCCGGGGTCTGCCAGCTGCCGCCTGTGTGCCCGTGGTCTGCCCACTTCTGTCTTGCGTGCCCGGCGCCACTGCTTTTTTGTACCATGACCACTCTCTCCCCTGCTGCCCGACTCTGCCCCTCCTACCTGTCTGGATGAACGTGTCTATTTTAATTCCTTGGTTGTCGGACCTCCATACAGATCAATTTTCTGTCAGTTCTCGTGGTTACTTTGTTTTTAAATTGTTGTTCTTATTTTGGTTGTGAGAGGAGGCACATGGTGTCTACCTACACCTCCATCTTGGCCAGAAGTAGGAAGTTATCTTCATAAAATTATTAAAATGCGCACAAAAAAATCATCAACAAGGATGTTTATAACCTAAAAGCAACAACAACAAATCACAGAAAAACTAGAAATGACTTGAATGTCTCCAAGTAAGGTTGATAAAATAAATTGTGGTAATATATGTCACGTAACCCCAGGCAGCCATTAAAAATCATGTTGTAGAAGAGTATGTAAGTGATGTACCAAGTGACGACATCAGACTATAGAGCATTATTACATAATCCTGATGATATAAAATGACATAGAACTGTGATAGAAAAAAACCTAGAAAGATAGGCATTAAAATGTTAGCAATGATTTTCTGTGGGTGGTGGGGTTTTGTTGATCTTTGTGCTTTTATGGTCTCCCTTACCTGTTTTGTTTCTTACAGTGAACACCTGTTCTCAGGTTCTGTATTCATCTGGACCCTTCTGCCAGTCCTGAACCAGTGCCAGAGGCAGTGGTGGCTTGGTGCACATTTTTCCAGAAGATGATGAGAAGTCCCTGGAAGCTGCCCAGCAGCCTCATGAGGTTTCTCTGGCCTCCCTCTGCTCTCCACCCCCTGGTCCTTGGGCCCCTCTGTTCCTACCCTAGACTCACCTGCCAAGAAGCAGGGCACGTGGGCGGTGGTGTTGATGAACTCACAGGGGTTTGGCTTCTTGTTGTCAAAGGGCAAGTAGGCCAGCCCATGGTCCCAGACCTCCTGGTTGACAGCCAGGAGGCCCAGGGGACTGCTAAGGTTGCGGAGGCGGCTGGCCAGGCTGGGCTGGGGGCCATACACGAAGCTGGCGTCCAGGAAGGAGGTCAGAGCGTTGATCTGCTCTCGGGTCAGGGTCTGGTAGTGTGGAGTGGGGCAGATGAACCTGGCTCGGAAGAAAGTCATGCACTTCCCTTGAGTCTTCACCTTAGAGTCCTTGCTTGGGAACTGCAGAGAGATTGGGGGTGGGTGACTGGGCAGAGGTGGTACAGCTGGGCCCTGGTAACCTCTCCCCAGGGCAGATCTGGGTGAAGCTGGCAAAGATGCTGATGGTGTCCTCCTGGGACCCTAGTATCAGACACCAACTCTAGACACCTCCTGCTGATGCTACACATCCTGAGCCCACTATACCCTGAAGTTCATTACATCCCACTGTGTAAAGGGACTGAGGGGAGTCAGCCAATCTTCCAGAGGTAGGGCTTCACATTTTTGGTGGAGTGAGAGCCCTGAGATCCCTGGACAGGGAAGCAGAGCAGGAGATAGGGAAGGGTTTGTGAATAATTACTACCAACAGCAGCTACCACGTATGTGTTTTGCTTCTACTGTGTGGTAGGCATTCTGCATAATTTCTCACTTTGGACCTCACAAAACCTTGTAAGGTAGCTAATTGAGTCCCATTTTACAGGGAGAAAACTGAGGTTCAAACGAGTTGAGTACCTTGCCCACAAACTTACAAACTGGAAGGGAAAGATGTGGGAATCAAATCCAGGTTTGCCTGAATCTACGGCTCGGTTTCTTCACACCTCAGCACGTAGCCTTGACTTGCTTGCTGTTTGAGTGAATACATCACTTGCTAACCCTAAAGTCCATGAATAAGAACCAAGGGGCCCCAGTGCAAGTTCCTCTCCCTTCCTGCTGGAAATTCCCACAATTTCTGATTTCTCCCTCAAGTTTCAGCTCTTCCCAGACCCCAGGATGACTTATTACAGCAGGGTTCCACAGACCTTACTGCGTGTGAAATGCATCTCCTAGGAAAGTGTAGGTCCTGTTTCCCAATGTCTGGGAGGAGGCTTAAGACTCCTCCTAAGTCCTCACGTGGCGCCAATGCTGCTGGCTGGGGACATGGACAACCCTCCCCAGAGCATCCCAGTTCTGCCATTAGAGGTTCCTTGTCCATTTCCCATGCAGGCCCTTTGTCCTCGAGGGGAGAAACAGTGTCTAATTTGTCTTTGAATCCCTAGCACATAGTGCACTGCCTGGCATGAAGTAGATGATTAATGTCTATTTGCTGAATAAAAGGGACGAGTGAATGAACGGACATGTGAGGAGTGGGAAGCTGTCAAATCAGCACCCAAGGTCTCCTTAGAGACCCTGGCGGACAGGCTGGAAATGTCTGCCCCATGAGGGTGGCCCGGGCTGGTCAGGGACGTGTGGTGCAGGGCCTACCATGATGGGGAAGCAGTTGCCTCCTTGGATACAGTACTTGTCACATTGCTCTTTGGAGTGCTCGCTGCTCCCCAGCTCAGTGTCAGGGGCAAAATCCATGTCGTGGTCCACAATTTGACCCCACTGCATGAACAGCAGGGATGTGTTTGGGTCCAGAACACCCTCCTCACTCAGATAGCTTGCAATCTGGTTGGATACCTCACGGGCCTGCAGGAGAAAGAAGGGGCAGGAGGGTTGGAGGAAAATGTGCTTTGAGGAGTCAGGTTCAACTGCAGTTTTTACCTACAATGTAACAGGCACATTTATTTAATCCCTGTGACAAGTTTGTGAGGCGCTTGGCATTATCCCACTTTGTAGATGAGGAGACTGAGTCCTAGAGAAGTGAGGTCAGTTCTCCAAGGTCAGCTACAAAAGGGCAAGGACAGGATTAAAGGAAGGTCTGTGTGACTCGAAGGCTTGCAAGGCCGGTGCCCTCCCACTATGGACAGGGGAAACAAAGACAGCCTGCCTCTGAAGTGCCACTGAGCTGCCAGGTGTCTGGGAAGAGGAGAGGGGCTCAGGGGAGGGCCTGCCAACTCAGATGAAGCCAGCAGATAGGACCTCCAGGCAAGGGACAGCTGATGCGCTCCAGGGGCTGGGGCGGGGTCAGCAGGAGCAGGATGGGATGGGGAGGCCATCTGCCTAGGAGACCCCAGGGGGTCTGGCCTGTGGGCAACTGGGATGTGACAGCCACTTGGCTGGACTCCTGGCTGGCCCCGAGCTCTGCCGCCCTCTCGTGGCAGTTTGGGGATCATCGCCCGGCAGCAAGTCCAAATGTCCATCTCCTGAAGCCGCTGCCCCGCGCGTCCTCTGTCCTTTCACCTAGCTCTTCGTCCTCGCTTTGTGGGTGCAGAGTGCATCCCGTCCCCTCGGACTCCCATCCTTCACCCCCCACCGCCAGCCCGGCCTCACCAGCGGGATCGGGAAGCCGTTCCGCGTCTTTCCCGGCGTCCACCCGAAGGGCAGGGAGAGCCCGTCCTCGTACTCGGCGGGCAGCCAGCGCGCCAGCGCCCTGTTGGCGGCGCCCAGCTCAGGGTTCCTCCTGAAGCCGGGCAGGATCGCACTCAGCCTCCGCCTGTCTACTCCGGGGATGGCTTCTCCGCAAATCCCACGAGGATCCCACGGGGAAGGACCAGGAGCCTCTGCCCAGGGACTGGGGTCCTGGGGGTCGCGGAGGAGGCACCTCTCCAATGCGGGGATTCTGAACTACCCCCACCCCCTGAAGGTGCGGGGCTCCCTGCCCTGGGGAAGGTGCTGCTCCCGGTGGGAACCAGTGGTCTCTTTAGAAAGTGGGGAGGTTGGGGGGGGGGGAGGGTTTCAACAGGACGGATTCTGGTGGGCGCCAAGTTTAGGAGGGTGAGGCAGTGGGAGTGCTGTCTGGAATGCTCAGGCTGCGAGGCCCCCCCCCCGCCCACCAGGGGGCTGGGCGGGGCAGGGGCGAGGGCAGGGGCAGGGGCAGACGGGCAGGGTAAGGCGGTGGCGGTGGGGGGGGGGGGCGTGGTGGTGGCCATGAGGGCGGGGCGGGGTGCTGGTGAGGTCTGCCCCCCACAGCGGCCTCAGCCCACTCGCCTGTTATTACAGTCTCCTGTAATGGTGCGGTAAGAGCTGTTGTCGCATCTCACCACAGGCACCGGGGCACCACAGCCCACCTCCCGAGAGAGTGCAGTCAAGTCCAGGTTCGGGTCTGAAACGGAAGGGACACCAGTGGGGCTGAGCTCTTTCTCCATTCTGAGGCACTGGGGGCAGGCAGGGAAGGGAAACCAGGGAGGAACTCAAATTTGGGGGCCTATGTTCTGTGTTCTAAGCAAGCATTTCTGAGGTGGTGTCTCATTTCATCCTGACAGCTCATTAAGGAAAGAATTTAAATTCCCAATGAAACTGACGCCACAGTGCTGGAGAGACTTGCCCAAGGCCACAGGTAAGAACTTTGCAAGGCCCCAGAATGGTCAGTAATTCTTTGTCTATCAGGTCATTTGAATAATAGATCTTTCTTTTAGAATAAAAGTACCCCTGAGATAAGATTGCTTGTCTTCTAAAGCTTCACTGACATCTTAAGCACTAAACAAGCAGGAACCTAGATAGGAAAGGTGTTGGGGAGGGACAGGTCATTTCAAAGTCAGGGGCACTGTGGTCTTGGGAGGAGCAACAGGGTGGGGCCTTGAGGCCTGGGAGGCTTGCCCGTGGGCACAGAACGGACAGAGCTGCACACTCCCGATGCAGCCTGTGACCCAACACGGCACCTAGGAGCAAGATGGGCGAGGGAGTCCAGCCCCGGGGGACTTCCTCAGGGGGACCATCTGTGAAAGTTGGCAGGGGCTGGGGTTCGTCCCCCCACACCTTTGAATCTTGGAGTCCAAAGCGCTGCCTACTTCTTCCTACCTTGTCCCAGGTTCCTTCTTCTGGAACTTTGGAATTCGCCCAAGTCCTGGGCTACATACCTACTCTCACTGGATGTGCTGGCAGGGGCAACCGGCAACCTCTTGCTCTGCTCAGACCCAGACCCCTCCCTCCGTGATTCCCCAGGAGCTGTGACACTGGCAGGGGCAGGCGTGGAGGGCTGGGAGCAAGCCCTGATCAGCCCATCAGCCCGCTGCTTCAGCTCCACTTTACTCAGAAGTCGGAAATCTCACCTCCTGTGGTACAAGCCCAGTAAATGCCCCAGACACAGGTGACTTATGTTGAGGACCGCCCTGCCTGGTCTCAGGAAGCTGTAACCGCCCCCCCCCCCCCCCCCCCACCCCCCGCCGACCCCCCCCCCACCTCCCCGCCGGGACTATGGCTGAGTAAGAGGCCTCTGAACCAGGAGGCGCTAAAGAGACAAAACTTATTTCCCTGGCATGAATGCTGCCTATTCATATGCCTCATTCCCTTTCATGCTTGAACAGCAGTCAAGGACGGGTAACAATTCTCTTGGATAGAGAATGAATCTAAGACAGACTCGTTCATGAAGGAATGACAGAGACAAGACTCACGGGGCTGTGGAAATAACGGGGTGATGGACATCAATCACCAATTTTGCCAATGCCTGAGCCTTTGAGAAATCCGTCTGCCAGCTGCCTTTGTCTCCTCTGCCCAACTCAGGCCCCTTGGAAGTAACAGGGGTGGTACAGTCCAGACCAGAAACAGCGGACCCCCGGGGTAATGAGGCCTGAAACATAGAATATGAAAGACCCTGGGAATTCTGCTTGCTGGAGGATGCTCTTTAATTAGAATATGAAGTCACGGGCAGGAAACAGAACTAAGCTTTAAGTCCTGTAGTCTTTTTAAATGATAAAACCCCCAAATCTCTGGCTTAGGATCCCAGTAGGAAGTCTGCCAGCACCTTTCAAAAGCTAACTACTTGTAATTTGCAAACTGTATTGGTATTCAAGAATAAAACCCTGCTTGTGCAGGGGGATGAGGCGTTCCCCACATGAGGAGTGGCCCTGCTGTCCTGATTCCCCCACGGGACCTGCTTGTCTCTGTGTATGTTTTTCTTGTGTTTCGATGAACCATCCACAGCGTTCTGTGCTGACTGGAGGCAGGTGGGCACATGTCAGACTTAAATGTCCCCTTCCTGGGCAGAAAGTGGTGAAATGTAGTTTGGAACAGGGAGCCTATGTTTATTGACTGTAGTACTTCCTCTGGATAGAGGCCTTACAGACGGTATTCTACCCAGAGCATGAATGTCCCCTTGTTTGGAGTCGACAGTGTGACCTTGCTGGACTTTAAGTCCCTTTCTCTGTGAAAACAAAAAGAGCATTTTCCTAGCTGTCCTCTCAGCTGCTCCTTGCTTTGCAGTTCTAAGAAGGGAGAGGCAGGAGTGCTTCTCCGAGGAGGTGGCTCCTCATAGGGAACACAACTTTTGGTGGCTCCTGCCTTCTGCTGCCAGGAGACAACCCCTTCCTGCCATCAGAGGGCTAGGGGGTTTTCTGTACCTGTAACATTGGTCAAAGTCGTTTTCTGCCTCAGTCTCTTTAAGGAGTCTTCCCACACCTGCCCGTTGCGGATGGCCGTGCGCGTCCAGCCCCTGGCATGCTTGAGGTACTCTGAGAGCTGTCGCATGTTGGGTGCCTCAGAGCTCATGGCAGTCGTCAGCCTACAGTGGAGACAAAGGGGGACTCATGACCTGGCCCCTGGGGCTCTGACCCTGCAGAAGGGGGTGGAGGTGGAGTGTGTATCATGAGACCACGAGGGTATGGGCCTGCGCTCTCAGGATCTTTTCTCCATTGTCTTCTGGAAAATCTGTTGTGGGGGGAGGAAGATGCTGTGTGTCTAGAAGCTTTGCTAGGTCTGGTTCTGAGGAAAGGCTGGCAGGTGGACGTGAGCGCTGCCTGAATTAGAATCAGAGGGTTGCGGCTGTGCTGGCTGCAACAGGACTGGCTGGGGAGTCTTGAAAACACAGGTGTCCCAGGACACACAGATTCAGACCAGAGAACCCCTGACGCTCATTGTGGTTCTCCTGCCTGCACTGACTCAGTGGGGACTTACCTCCTGCTTGGCTATCCTTGGGGCTGGACTCTGTGGGAGCAGGCAGGGCTTTGGAGAGCCTCTTTCTCCATCTCCAGGCCTCCGCCCTCATCCTAGCCACCACCCTGGACCATCTGGAGGGCCATAGCCACCTCCTAACTGGGATCTCCGCTCCTATCCCCCTTCCATCCATTCACTACATGGCTGATGGAGTGAGCTTTCTAGAATGAAATTCAGACCATGCCATTATTACAGGGTGCAGCCAAGAGGGGGGCCCAAATAGGGATTTGGAATGGGCTACAGAACTCAAGGTGTCCAGGAAATATTGGGATGTCCTCCCCCCTCCCCCCAACAGGTGTGAGTTTGGCAAAGGGACACATGCAGCAGGGCCATTGAGAGCTGTTTTGCATAGCAACAGCTTTGCAGCTAACCTCTGGCATGGTCATTTAACATATCTATAACCTTTAACTTGCTTCATAGATATGTTAAATAGCTGTGACTATGCTTTGAGCCAGGGAGAAGGGAGGGACTTCCACCCACGATGTAACTGGGGGGCAGGTCCCCCTGATTACAGTGCCTGCATGAGAGCTTGGAGAAGATTGGCTCCATGACATGGGGCCACACCTGCCCAGACCTACTATGGCAGCCCAGTAAAGCTGGAAGGACATAAGGGTGCTGGCAAGTGTAGCCGGTTGTGGGAAGAGTTGGAAATGGGGCTGCAGAGGAGTTTGGCATGGGGATTTAAACCCAGAGACCAAAGCCATTGGAGAGAGGACCACGGGGTTGTGGCAGTGCAGAGAGAACCATGTGGCTGTGGCCAATAGAGGAGAGAGCCACGTGCTTCTGGCAGAGTGGGGACCCCTGCAGCCATGTAAGGGAGAGCCACGAGGTTTTGCCAGAGTGGGGACCCCCACAGCTTTGGTGGACAGAAGAACCATGTGGTTTTGGCCAGAGTGGGGACCCCTGCAGCTTTGGTAGAAGAGGACCACATGGCTTTGGGTGTGCTCCCTTTGACTGCATGGCTTGGGAAGCAGGAGAGACTTTGCCTGGAAGAAGGCTGAAGAACTCTCGCCAGTAGGCCACGAGAAGGTGCCACATGGCTTTAGACTAGAGATCCTGCCTAAATGGTGACATGGCTGAAGGTGCCAGTGGACTGAGACATGCATGTATGCTTCTTTTCTGGCATTACGGTACCCCAAAATTAGGACAGGGGAGAAGGAAGCACTGTGGGCATCAGTAGCTATCCCAAAAGACTTTGATATTTTAGTGAAGACATTAGGGCACTACTTTAAGTCTTTAGATCATTAAATAAACATTTCCTTTCCTTTTCACAAATCTCTGGCATTGAGAGATGTCTTTCCTGTAAGAAGGTGGACATAAGGAACATGGGGGGTCCTTTCAGTAATAGTAAATAGTAACCCCCCTTGTCCCTGTGGGTGGGCATGTTCTGTAACAGTTTTTGGCATCCCTGTGTGGGCCAACAATTGCCCACCTACTTGGCGTCTGTTCTGTCTGTTTTGTAACACTTTTTGGCGACCCAGATGGGACGATGATTTCTGTGGCAGACTGACCCTATCAGGTGCGAGAGAGTGAGACTTTGTTTCTCAGTTTTGAGAATTTCTCTGCATTCCTTTTGAGGGCATTGGCCGCCTAATCATGCCTGGAAAGGTGAAAAGGAAACAAAACAGGAAAGGAGCAGAGACATGGAAGTGTTTTGGTTGAAAACTTGCTTTCTGAGTGCTCTTTTAGAGCAACGGAGCTGGAATTGTGGGCAATAGCTAGGGAAATACCCGGTCTTTATGCCATCTGTATTCTTCTTGCTCTGACGTTTTGCTTGCTTTGTTGGAACTGTGTGAGTAGTTTTGAGCCACTCCCTCAGTGGAGCCCACTGGGTAGGATTCTAAGGGATTTGGAGAGCCACCGTGCTAAGTCAACATTCAAGAATCCCTTGTCTAAGCAGTTAATGATTTATTATTGTAACACAGTGTGTCCTACTTATGTTTTGAGTGCTGAGCTGAGATGGCCCGTGAATGGTACTTTGGGTTACTGCATCATTAAGCAATTACAAGAGTATTATAGACAGTGGAATCACTGGGAGGAACTCCTCTATCTCGATGCGTTTGTATTGTTGTATATATATTGCGTATATATATTGTTGTATGCGTTTGTATTGTTCTGGCCTTTTGCCAGAAACTGAGAATCCTGTGATGGTGCAGAAGGAAAAAGTGGTCTCAGAACCCCTCCCTGATAGTGGAATACAGGAGGAGAGAGAGAATGAGGAAATAAACCTCATTATTGCTCTGAACGCAGGGAATGGGTGCTCAGAAGCAGGGGAACTCCAGTGGCGCTGCTTCCTCCCTGGGAGGTGGGGCCCACCACGGCTTCCCCAGCCCCTTGCACATAGGGGAGGTCTCCACCACGGATTTGCAACCCCTGTGATTCAGCGTTGCATCTCCGCCACCTACACAGGTGGGCGAAACCAGTGTCGGGACACCGCCATTTTGGGTAAAATGGAGGATGAGCCACGTAAGTGCCGCCACAATGGAGGACGGCGTGTGCATGGGTGTCGCCATGTTGGACGACCTGGCATGTGTGGTTGTCGCCATCTTGGATGACCCGGCAGGCATTGGCATCACCATCCTGGACGACACAGTAAGCATGGTTGTCGCCACCTTGGATGACCAGCATGTTTGGGCGCCGTCATCTTGGATGACTGGCATGCATGGCTGTCGCCATCTTGGACAACCCAGCTTGCATGGTTGTCGCCATCTTGGATTACCTGGCATGCATGGTTGTCGCCATCTTGGATGACCCGGCGTGCATGGGCGCCGCCATCTTGGAACTGGAGAAGGTGGTGGGCCAAGGGCTCTCTTCAGATTATGGGCTGTATGCTGCTGCTGTGTGGGCACTGCATCAGTCAGGTTCTCTGTGTAACTGGTTCTGATAGGAATGGCTCTGGTTCTGAAGGTCATGAACTGAGGTCCAAAGGTGACCATCTGATATATAGGGTGTTTGCAAGGTCTAAGCTTCAGAAAGCTGCAGGATGTCCCTGTGAATCTAGGGACTTTTAGTGGAAGGTACCTGTAGTGTTAGGGACTTTTAGCTGCCACATGCTGAGTTTAAGTACTGAGTTTAAGTATAGTCCTTCCCAGTGTGGGAAAGGAACCAGGATTGAAAGAGAATGATGGTTAAATCTGGATGTGAAAATTATGTGTAAAAGATGTGAAAGTTTTAAACCTAGAGTAAGGGAAACCTGAACTACCTGTTGCCGGTTTCATGGGAAAAGAGCAAAATTCTCACATTGGTTGTGTTTCTGATCAGAAACCTTCTGTAGTTGAAGACCTAGGAAAGGTCACATGTAACCGGTTGGGGAGCATGCCTTTGCCACGCGGGACCCAGGAAGGGTCATTTGGGGCTGACGAGTGCTTCAGCCAGAGGCAAAGGGGGGCATGTCTCTGCCATGAGACCGGATCGGAAGACAGCAAGTCTCTGCTGTTGGTTTTGTTTCTGATCAGAAACCTGTATTTGAAGACCTAGGAAAGGTCACCTGTAACCGGTTGGGGAGCATGCTTTTGCCATTCAGGACCCAGGAAGGGTCATTTGGGGCTGACGAGTGCTTCAGCCAGAGGCAAAGGGGGGCATGTCTCTGCCATGAGACCGGACCTGAAGGAGCATGTCTCTGCGAGGCACCGATGGACGCATTGGTGCAAGAGAATGCTTCTACCTGTGTATTGTTCTGGAACTCTATGTTTTGGATTTTGCTCTGTATCTGCTCTGAAAAGGAAATTGAGGATTCCAGGGAAGGTTGAAACTGTACACTCTGCAGGAAAGTGCACAGGGGAAAGTGTAAGATGTGTAAATGAAGAAGGAGTATGGAAGAGAGATTAGAGGGTTTGTGAATGTTGCAGAAAGTCTGTGGAAGTAAACGTTTTAAGAAAGAATTATGTGATGTGTGTTAGTAATAGAAGGTATAAGGCATGGAGATGCAATCTTGATGGATATCAGAAAGTGTATGAGAAAGAATAGAGAGTTTGTGAATGTTTCAAAATGTCTGTGGAAGTGAAAATTTCGAGAAGCCTGGTGGATATCAGAAGGAAAAGGATTTTCCTTCACGCTTCGTATTTTTCTCCCTACCTGATCCCTCCAGAATTTGGCATTCTGAAGGAGTGAGTGATAATGTAAGGTTTCTTTGCATAAAACCAATAAGACCAGTCGTGAATTGTGGTCTTGTTAACTGAGACTTTGACTGGAATGTCACGCCTGAAGGAGGCATGTATGGGTTCTGGTCGTCACCAGAAAGCCCTGAGGACCTGGGATTGACTAGCAAAGCTAGCGTAAGCCCACGAAAAAGCCTGGTACTTTGGTTGGTTGTGTGGTTCATGGCAGTCTTTCCAGGGAAGGAATGAAGGTTGCTTTCCTGAAAGATGGCCAAAAAAAAGGAACCTGTAAGCACAATGGAAGCCTCAAGGATTTGAGTGAAACAACTGGTACAGGCAAAGCCAGATGGCAGATGTGTGGCTCTGCTTCTGTGCCCCAAGAGGGGTGGACTGAGACATCAATCTAAAGGTTCCCTGTGTGAGTTCCAGCAAAGTAGACTCAAGGATCATAAGTGATCCAGGCTGCTCTTGG